GTTGTAGTGGTTCAAAAGCTGGTATTGGTTACAGGTCGGCCATCTGTCTGGCCATGACATCTTTTCTTGTATAGCCATATATGCTGTGTCCCAATTACAGACCTAATTACTCATTGTCATGGGACACCGAGCCAAAAGAGGGCATGACGTGAAGTAGGGCGTTCAAATTTGTCTTTTGACTTCTAGTTTTAGTGATGAGAAGCTTTTTTTTTTATAATTGTTTCGTAAATGACCTGCTTTCTGACCTGATCCTCGTTTTTGGAAGCGTATCAGAGCGCGCGGTTGGCCAGATCGGGATGCCGTTTCTGTGTTTTGATAAGTGTCTTTCAGCCACATTTAATTTCGCTCTACTTGCATGAGGAGGTCATGCTCCGCGATTCAACACATGGAACCAATGAAAAAGATTTAAGATGGTGAGCGGATGGATGAGATCAAGGAAGAATATGTCTGTCGTGAGACGGCCCGTGGCTGTGCAACAGCATTCATGCAGACTCAGCCTGGGACTAGTAAAACAGGGGCTTGGCGCTCTTCCCCAGGGCTTTGGTCTGGGATAGGAGGGTGGAAGGATAAGGGAAGCAGTGGTTGGTCCAAAGCAAACAGGAAGGCCTCCATTTGCAGGTGCAGATTATGTTATCTGCAAGGACTGGGGGCTTTTGATAGGTCTTTCAACCCTGGGAAACAACACTCACAGCAGTCATCTCTTTTATTACATTCTCTTTCCACATATTTATAAGGTACTGGACTGTTAATGCAATATGTTAATTTATGAATAATATCTTAAAAATACATTTGCAGCCGGTAAGAATACTTGTATTCAGGAAGGATGCCTTAAATTGATCAAAAGTGACATTTAAAGCAAAGACATTAATAAAGCAACTTTTATTTCAAATAAATGCTGTTCTTTTGAACTTTATATTCATCAAATAATCCGGAAAGAATGTGTTATGGTTTTGACTGATATTGAGCAAAAAAACTAATTTCAACATTGTTAATATTATATAAGAAATGTCAAAAATGTTTCTCTCTTAGACCAAAAACTGGCATCCTCCAAACTCAGCTACATTGGTTTCTTTGGAGTTTAAAGTTAAAATCTTATTTGGTCAGATGATCTGGTCAGATAACTGTGCACATTGTACTTTATGATATATGAACCTGTCACAAAATGCAGGCTCTGCAAAGAGGTAGTTATTGCAGGATGGGGCAGTAAAAAACTATTTTTAAAGACGGCAAACCCGCATCCCAGGCGAGAGAGCAGCATGTGCAGTTGCTCATTTCACAATCTAAACAAATACTGTATATGTCTGTGTAATTTCAAAGGTCAGATAGAATTTGAAAAACTTAGTTCTGACGGTTTTTGGCACAAAAATCTATACTAACTTTATAAATGGCCTAAAAGAAGAAATAAAATGATAAAAATGCTCCAAAAAAAAAAAGCTAAAAAAGGTAGAAACTAGATTTTTTTGCTCTTTTGAAAATTAAATATATTATTTTTGCATTGAAAGCTGCTAATGGTATGTGAAGGCCAGTAATTTCAAAGATTAGTTGCATAATCCTGTACGGTATGAACAGTTTTATAGTCTTTTTATGTGCAGTTGTTAATTTTGAGGATCAGAAAAGTGCTTAAAAATGGTCACGCATATCTATGACTGAACTTCAGGAAAAACACAATGTGCTTATAATATGGGCTTTTGAAGTAATGAAAGCATCTTTTGTGCCTCTTTGGTGCTTCTGGAAGGGTAACAGGACAGTATAGTGCTCTTATTACCCCTGTGAAGGGCGAGGGCTATTTTAAGTTTGATTCCCAAACTGTTTTGCTGACGTTTCTTTCTATACGGTGTGCTGAGCACAGTGATTATTCACCTGTGCCCTGAACTCAATGTCTCGGTGCGCTCAGGTGTGCTGGCTCAAGACCAAAGCTTGAGGTATGATATCAGCTGTCCTGCTCCTGGCAAAGAACGGTTAAGAATAGTCAGTCTGGATATTCATCTGACTTGCCTCAATTGTCCCTATTGTGGAAAAATAAACATCTGTAATCAGAGCTCTCTGATTTCTACCAAATAAATTGATGCCATTGTAATCTTACACTCTCTATCTGAATGCTTAAGCATTCAGTGAATTGGGCTGAAGAGGAAGAGTCTTGGACTCATTTTTTTTAGGTCAGGGGCTATCAAGCTTTTTGCCAGAGTTTCTTGGGCAGTGGGCCAACAAATACTTAGTCAAGTGGGTTCAATCGAGCAGACTGAGTCTCTGACCCGCTGCTGTCTGGCAGATGTGAAAGATTAGACCTGGAGCGCTGCAGTCAACATTGACTGTTTCAATACAAGTTACGAATATAATCAGTGCATAAATCTGAATATTGCAAAAAATAATTAGCTAATAAATCAGCATTTTTATTATCTTAAAGAATTTAATTGGTGGTATTTATTTCACTTTTTTGTGTCTTTGGCCAGTTACACTACATTTTTTGTTCCATTGACTTCCACTTATACACTTGCGAATGTGGGAAACAGGAGACGTAAGCTCGTTTAAATTTCAGTGCATTCCAAAGTTCAAGTTCGGTGTTCATATGACAAGAAGATGTGTGTCTAATACAAGATTGGCATGATGTATTAGCGGAATGCAACTTTTTTTTTTAATCTTCAGGATTGGAGCAATGCAGTGAAGTAAAGTACATTTATGTAGTATATGCAGAATTGTTTTTTTTTTAAAGATGCCAGTGAACGAGATGTCATATTGTGAGCATTGTAGTGTCCATAGAAATTTTGTGTTCACAAATTCTAGCGTGAGTGTGAACATTCAGTGTGATAAACATTTGAATTTGAATGAATGGATTTTGCATGCCATCAAAGAGAGGTTTTTACAACAAGGTTTTTAATTTCTAAACTCTTTTCCATCGCACTGCAAAAAAACTGTCCAAAAAAAAAAAAAGAACTGCAGTTTTGGTCACATGCCTAGAGCCACTGCTGTAAAATGACAACTATTTTGCTAAACGACAGTGAATAGCAGAGAAAGAATCTGGAATCTTGTTTCTGTACTCTTGTATTAGGTGTTGTTTGATAAACATCATAACGAATACAGAAATTTGACTGGTGGTTTGAAATCACGAAAATGCTGTGTGACTTCCTCTCTTCTCCATGACAAGCAAGTGTCTGAAATAGAAAATTGTGCAGTGCTGCTTTGTGTACCAGGGTAACCAGGGTATTTCTGCTTAAAAAAGCAACCTGTTTTCAGAAAGTGAAATTGCATTTTCATTCAGCTTGTCTGCTGTTTTTTGCACATTGTTCTGAACAGACAAATCATGTACGAAAATCACACTGAATTTTCAAACAGAACATTCTTTTTGGTGTGAATAGGCCTTTATCTATTTGTTTCTATCCAGCACTTTTTGTGTGATATTTGAAAATATAATGGCTAGTCTCACTTGACTCCTATGCAACAATTGAGATTGTTCAGCTCATTTTTGGTGGTTATTTAAAAAAAGAGCTTTAAACTGCTTGTTGATACTTGTCAGTTAGGTATTTGCAGATCTTTGGGCTGATTCATCTTCCTGCGAACTGATTTCTTGAAATTGTAATTATCTGAACTGAACACATTGAAGCACGGCTGGTTCCTAGAAAGAGCGTCTCTCCAAACCAACCTCAACCAACAATATCAACAGTCGTTATGACATGTCTGTCTGAGAATGACGTGCTCATGGGATAAGAGCAGAGGAAAGTCCTTCCACAGCATGAGAATGAGTCCTGCCAGAGATCCACATTAATGCTTTACTCATTAAGGCCAAATGGTGAGAGGGGAGTTGAGAAGAAATATGCAGGACGGTGGAAGATCAGGGGTCTCAGGCCGGCATCCAAAACTCCCCACTCGTCCAAACAGATGCCCATTTGTGAGATGCCATCATCTCCCAAAAGGCTTGGCAGAGCCGGGTGTGAAACATCCCACGCAGTTGCTGCAAAGGAGCTCATTGCTATGCCAGATTTTTTTCCTTTCCTGTGTGTTCGGTGAACATAAGCTACAATTAAACTCCCTATTAGTGGCCGTGCGGGCAGCCTGTGCTTGTTTTGAGAAGGAAGTCAACACACTTCACAAGTTCCACTCGGTTTTGATTCATTAATTCCTATGTAGCTCCCTGCTTTCCTTTTTGTCTTCTGAATCATACTGCATTTTCAGCTCTGTGCTAATGCGGCATTGGCTCAATCTGGGATCCGTGTTGTTTCTCTAATGTCTGTGAGTCTCTGCTGGCCTACTTAAAGCGTGTGCTATTTCTGCCAGCGCTTTGAGCGTGATGTTCTGTTTCAAATCTGCTTTTTCTGAGTCTGTATGTTTGGGAAAGTGTGTACATGTGATGTTCACCTGGGAACATGCAGTGTGAATCTTATTGCATGTTTGATTTGCTTTGGTTACCTGTAAGTAATAAATGTTACTCAAGTGAAATGAGATATGAAATAAATCCCAGCTCTATCAAACCTCTAAGAAATAATATGAAAAAACAGATTAAAGGGCAAAATGAGCGACAGAGTAAATAAATGCCTCGCAGATAAGCCAATTCACGCTTTTGTCAGCTGAATATTTGGTTTCACACAACTGGCCGGTATCAAAATAAGATCTTTTCAAGATAAAGATCATGTTTTATAGCTGCGGACTCGGGAACGTCTCATTCCCACCGAAGCGTCCAAATTATGTCATTCCCAATAACATTCCGAAACCACACATTCCTTTCCAGCTCATTCCCAATATGTTGTTTCACATTCCTCTATTCCCAGTGTCATGTTCCTGTTGTGTGGGGTCTGATCGGTGTGTACACACATCTCGTGTCCCGGCATCATGCAGAGGGCAGCGTGGATTAATGACGTGTGCTTGAAGTGAAAACAAGAGCTGTGTTTATGTTTGGTTTTTTTATATACTCATGCTGACATGCTTAAACTAATGTCTCGAAGATAGAATTTAAAGGTAAAGTTTGTTAACTCTGTGCCTTTTAATCCATTTTTTTAAATCTCTCTCAGGAGCAAGAGGAGAATAAAGGTGCTACTAGCTGGCCAGAGTACTACATTGACCAGCTCAATTCAATGGCAGCTGTAAGTATTTATTTTTTGAAGACTTTTCTTTGTCCTTTAACATTCATGAACTCGTCTTCTTTTAACAACTGATTATACATTTTACATTGCCATTGGACGTTGAGGACTTAAAGGGATAGCTCACCCAAAATCGTAAATTCTGTCATTAATTACTCACCCTCATGTCGTTATAAACACGTAAGACATTTGTTCATCTTCAGGACACAAATGAATATATTTTTGATGAAATCCGAGAGCTTTCTGACCCTCCATATCAAGGGTCTTACCACGTTCAAGGCCCAGAAGGTACCAAGAACATCGACAAAATAGTCCATGTCACATCAGTGAACGTGGTAGGACCCTTGCTACCTGTGGAGGGTCAAAAAGCAGAAATTAAGAAATATCTTACGAAGGTCTTACGGCTTTGGAACGACATGAGGGTGAGTAATTAACGACAGAATTTTCATTTTTGGATGAACTATCTCTATAAAACACGTAATATGTAATATCCATTGTTAGAAATGTACATAACATGTCTAAGCATCTAGTGTAAGAATGGTATCTCTTTTACAGAGGAAAACTCTGTTGGCCTTGGAGAAGGAAGAAGAGGAGGAACGCAACAAGACCATTGAAAGCCTGAAAACGGCACTGCGGACACAACCAATGAGGTCTGCACATTGTAGCACAAATAGATATACACGCTCTGTCTTTATAAAATATAAGTTTGTATTTGATCACTTATATAATAAAAAAATTATATATATATATATATATTATAGTATTTTGTTATATATAAGGGCCTTTCGCACCGCGGGAACCTTTTCATAGCACCAGAACTAATTGTGGAACTACCCACTTTTTGACGTTTTCGCACCGCCGGAACTGGGTGCGATTTTAGTACCGGACTGCCTTTTTCGAGAACCAAATTAGCTCCTACTCCGGAGCAGGGTCTAACCAGCACAACTGGTACTAATCGTGACGTAAGTAGACATTGATTGGCCAAACGCGTATGAAAACGCCCTCACCCGCCATGATTTAAAACGCCGTGTAAACAAACATTGTGTCAACTTACTTCGCGAGTATGGAGAACAGCAATAGATGGACGGATGCTGAAGTGCAGGCACTTGTAGCAAATGTAGCACTGCCAGTTGTCGTTGGAGACACGCTCTCGGTGCGAATGCAACCCTTTAAATAATACTGGGAAATAGTTCGCGCAAAATCGTTACAGTACTTTAGTACTGTACATTTAGTTCTGGAACTAAAGCGGTGCGAAAGGCCCTAATATCAAGATACTCAGAGGATTTTAAATGTGGTTTTAAGTGTTTATGCTACTGTTCAAATTTTACTTTTATTTAATGATTTTATTCAGATGATTCAGATGAATTCAATTGATCAAAAGTGAACGTGAAGACATTTATAATATTACAATATTAAAGATATAATATTTCGATTTAAAATAAATTTTGAACATTCTATTCATCAGTCCTGAAAAAAAAATTGTTTCCACAAAAAATGTTAAGCAGCACAATGGTTTTCAACATTGATAATAATAATAAATGTTCCTTAAGCAACAAATCAGCATATTGGAATAATTTCTGAGAGTCATGTGACACTGAAGACAGGAGTAATACAAATTCAGTTTTGCCATCACATATTACATTTTAAAATGTATTAAAATAGAAAAAGTTATTTTGAATTGTAATAATATTACACAATATTACTGTCTTTACTGTAAAACAAAATAAAGCCTTGGTGAGCATAAGAGACCTATTTTGTAAACAGAAAAATAGAAAACAGTCATTTTTACATTGCAGTAATATTATAAAACATTTCTTTTTTGGTTCACTTTATATCTCAAATGTCCATATTTGCTCACTAAAATTAAAATAACAAACAAACAAACAAACAAAAAAACCTTAGCTTACATTATTGCTTTTACTTGAAGATGAGGACAGCTGTCTCAGGGCAATAGTTTAACACGTCGATGATTTTCCCATTGGCAAGCACCTCACTCTGTTATTAAACAAACGCTTCCCTTATGGTGTGTGCTTTGGGTCTCATTATGCAAATGAGATTACTTTCATCACACACATGCTCACAAACACATGCGTTTGATTAGTGGTTCCTGCATTCACCATTTGATCCTGGGGTCACAGGTCATCAGCACTGACCTCTGCAGGGCTCGGGTCAAAGCACTCCAGCCCTCTTTGTGCCTAATAACATTCAGGCTGCATATCAGACCATTCCTTTCACAGCTTAAGGCAATTGTATTTAAAGTCAAGTGCTTTATAGGGGCTATAAATCAGTCTAGATACTGATGTGATATATTATTTCACATTCATCACCTCCTTGTGGAGTCAATCATTTTCAGATTTGCAAATCATTACAAATGTTTACAAAACATTTACAAATGTTTTCAGAGCCGTGACCTAGCGGTTAACACACATGCTTGGGTTTGGTGCTCATGTTGCAAATTTACTGTGGGTTTGAATCCAACCCATGTCATGTGGCAATCCCATTGCACCATCATTTCCTGTCATCTCTTCACTTTTGATAATAAATAAAATGAAACTTTTATCTAAAAATGTAAATGTATTTAAATATTTAAATGTATTTAAATCTGTAAATGTATACAAATTATTTAAAATTAAATTTATCTACAAATTAATGTGTACGTTATTCTAAATTCTTCTGTATTCATTCATAAGACAAGAAATTGAGAAATTAGAGAAAAATACATTTTAGGTATGTCTTCTAATAAGAAATATTAGATATTTTTTTATTCAGTGTAATGACGATTTTTTTATATTTTGAAATTTTCTCTTATGGAGGCCCAATCTTGCAGAAATGTAAAATAAATAAAGTTAAAAATAAACACAGAAAATAATAAATAAAGGGCAAAAACTAATAAAAATAAATACAGGACTAAATTTAATTAAAAATTAATTGTATATATTTTTAGGTATTTTTATTTATTTATTTATCATTTCTGTATTAGTAAGAAAATATACTAGGAAATAATATGGTAACTTTCAAAGAAAGTATTGCAAGTGGGCATCTGGGAAAAATAAAAAAGAAGATTATGAAAACATCTATGATATGGCAGCTTTAAAGTTAAAGCTTTTTTTCTATCGTAACTTATAAAATTGAATGAGTGAGAAAGATCTTTAACGAACAGCTGAAATCATTCCTTATAGGTTTGTAACACGGTTCATCGATATGGACGGCCTGACATGCATCCTGAACTTCCTGAAGAGCATGGATTATGAGACCACCGAGTCTCAGATCCACACTTCCCTCATCGGCTGCATCAAAGCCCTGATGAACAACTCCCAGGGTCGCGCTCACGTGCTCTCTCACTTCGAGAGCATCAACATCATCGCTCAGAGTCTGGCCACCGAGAACATCAAGACTAAAGTGGCGGTGCTGGAGATCATGGGTGCTGTGTGTTTAGTGCCGGGAGGCCACAAGAAGATTTTGGAGGCCATGTTGCACTATCAAAAGTTCTCTTGTGAGCGCACACGATTTCAGGTGGGCTGGTTTGTTTATAGCATGATAAAACATCAAGAAAGTCTGTATCAGGATAAATGTCAATCCCACTACCATCTTTCTTTTGTCACAGACATTGCTGAATGATCTGGACAAAAGCATAGGACGGTACAGGGAAGAGGTCAGCCTAAAAACGGCGATTATGTCCTTCATTAATGCTGTTTTAAGCCAAGGAGCTGGTGAAGTAAGACATTTCGGTTGCTTACACACTATTTTAACACATCTTAATTTACTCTGTCCAGATCTGTGCTTTAAAGGGGTCATATGATGCGATTTCAAGTTTTCCTTTCTCTTTGGAGTGTTACAAGTTGATTGTGCATAGATAAGATCCCTGAAGTTGCAAAGACTAAAGTCTCAAAACCAAAGAGATATTCTTTATCAAAGTTAAGACTCTGCCACGCCCCCCTAAAACGGCTCGTTCTAACACGCCCCCACATATCTACCTCACTATGTGGAAATATTAGCATAATGCCGCCCAAATGTGCACGCAAAGAAAGAAGGCGTGGCAGTTAGTGTTGAAGCAGCCATGTCAGGGAGAAGCTGTGTGTTTCTAGGCGAAAGCAAAAGCACTTTATTTGGCCTTCCGAAAGTAGATGCATTTAGGAATCTTTAAGATTACTTACAACAGAACAGCAATGCATTCTATGGACGACCGTTTCGTGAACCTAGGAGAGGAGGTAATTCTGAATTTGCTATGACAATCTGGCGCTTCTGAATCAGCTACTGTAAGTATGTTTTGTTATAGTTTAAGTATTTGCTATTGACTGTTCAAATGCGGAGTTTTGCGCATCACGTGTGTGTGTGTGTGTGTGTGAGCGAGAGAGAGAGAGAGAGACAGGGTCACACAGTGGAGTCAGCTGTCTTAACCGCGGCTTGTGTACTGCAGACACATACCAGCTTCATCACTGTGTCTGTCACGCGACTCTGTTCCCCTTTCGGGCTCTGTCTTTACATTTATGTTCAAAGCTGAAGCTCGCGATTATGGTAAGGGGCGTTACATTTCCGACGAGTGCTTGCGGTGTTCGGCCAATCACAATGCACTGGGTCAGCTGGCCAATCAGAGCAGACTGCGCTTGTCGGAAGGAGGGACTTTGTAGAAAACGAAGCGTTTGAGAGAGGCGGGGCATAGAGGACCTACAATAATGTACAGTATTTGAAAAATAATGTGTTTTTTGAACATTAAAGCATGTCAACATATTCTGTTACACCAAATACACAAAATAATGATCTTTAAAAAAGCATCATATGACCCCTTTAATATATAAATATCTACCAAAATAAGTCTCCTATTTGCCCTTGAAGGAATAGTATATCAGTAAGTGTTTCTTTAATAACTCGTTAGGCCAGCCTTGAGTTCCGGGTTCATTTGCGATACGAGTTCCTCATGTTGGGGATTCAGCCCATCATCGACAAACTCAGGTCACATGAAAACTCTACTTTAGACAGGTAAGGGCCACAATTGCTAACTTGAGCTTTATTAATGGAGTCTTATCAGCAAATTTGAGCATCTTGATTTTGCTGTTTCTTTTTTTTTTGTCTCCTCAGGCATTTGGATTACTTTGAGATGCTGAGAAATGATGATGAGCTCACATTATCCAGGCGGTTTGAGTCTGTGAGTAGATTAAAAATAATATTTCTAATAATGGTTTTATATTTTATGTATAGATATATTGTTTACAATTATTATTATATTATAAAAATATTATAAAAAATTGTAATCATATATATACTATATATATATATATTAGTGCTGTCAAACAATTAATCACGATTAATCGCATCCAAAATAAAATGTTTGTTTACATAATATATGTATGTGTACTGTGTATATTTATTATGTATATATAAATACACATACTCGCATGTATATTTTTAAAGGGGTCATATATATATATAAATGTACCTATTTATAAATGTTTTCAGATGCATATAGACACAAAGAGTGCGACACAAGTTTTTGAGCTTGTACGGAAGAAGCTGGCCCACACAGATGCATATCCGCACTTTATGTCTATTCTTCACCATTGCTTGCTTATGCCTCGTGAGTGTTTACCTTATTGTTTAGACTTTCTTAGTTTTTAACTGAAACAAAGCTATGCAGACTTTTTCCACCAAATGCTATAAATGAAGGATGATGTATAGTCAGCTGGTCATTAATGCAAAAACTATTCAGTTTAATGCCACAAATGACCAGTCAGAATTAAGTATTAAGAATTAATTGAATTAAATGTTTGAATCTGCACTTTGTTTTAGATAAGAGAAGTGGGAACACAGTGCAGTACTGGCTGCTCCTGGACCGCATTGTCCAACAGATGGTCCTGCAGAGTGACAAAGGTCACGACCCTGATGTCACGCCATTAGAAAACTTCAATGTAAAGAATGTGGTTCGAATGTGAGTTTGCCTCTTTTTTCAGGCAACTTTATCATAATTGATTTTCTTTGGCATCCATATGTTGCTGTAGTGTATTTATAGTAGTTGCAGTTTTTTTTAATGCCCTCATTAAGTCTTTGCCAAATAAACCAAGATCTGTACTGAAATAATGAGTTTTTCCTTAAATCACATCACTTACCCTTTTTCAGGCTTGTCAATGAAAATGAGGTGAAACAGTGGAAGGAACAGGCGGAAAAAATGCGTAAAGGTCAGCACATGTTGTACACATTGATGTTTCTTTTACAACAGTCTGCATTTTTGCATTAAAATTAAATCCTCTGTAACTGTTAATGCATTCACATCAAGTAGGGATTCAAATTCTGACTTAACGATTAAAAGTGTCTTTGGCAAACTATAAATTACAACTTCAGAACTTGAATTTCATGTGAATTTTAATGACGTGGCTGTCAAGACATCAATGCGAAATGACGTCATGAAACTTTTTAGCTATACTTTTTAGCATTTAATAAAATGTTTGTTTAATTATATATTTTTTTATTTTTTATTTCATGAAACAATTTTTAGCTGTACTTTTAAGCATTGAATAAAATGTATGTTTGTTTGTTAATTTATTCATTCATTCGGCAGATTTATTTTTTATTTTGTGTATTTTATTTATTTTACAGATTATTTGTATGCGCTTTTTTCTCATTTTCCTCTGTTCATGTAGAAATGATCACTCTGATTAAACAACAATGTAAAATGTCATCAAACTTATAAATTACAACTTGAAAATTGATTTATGAATGACTTGACCATCATGATGACATCATGGAAAAATGAACCAGCATGTAGAAGTGAATTAATATAAAAATCTGACTGTCATCAACAACAACAAGCACATGGCATCTATTTGACATTATAAGCGTTGCCATATAAACTTATAATTTCTAAAAATGAGAACATCATCAGCTCAGAATAGATTCTCCGAGTTGTCATCTCATAATTATGTTAATTCTGACATGGGAATGTAGCCTATTTATTTCAGTTTGATTTAGTTGGCTGGAATGCAGTGTCTTTATTGTAGAGACGTATAACATTTTGACCTTTAACCTCTTTATCCTGTAGACCACCATGAGCTTCAACAGAAGCTGGAAAAGAAGGAGCGAGAGTGTGACGCAAAAACTCAGGAGAAGGAGGAGATGATGCAAACGCTCAACAAGATGAAAGAGAAGTTAGAAAGAGAAATGGGGGAACATAAACTAGTCAAGCAGCAGGTGGCAGAAATGACTTCCAGACTACATCACCTCAGCACGGTATGCTGATGAGGTCACAGATATTAATAATAATAATAATACAAAAACATGTAAACGTCCTTTTACGAAAGCAAACATTAATAAAGACTGACCAGTGTTCATCCCTTTTGTATTTCTAGAGACAAGTAGCCAGTGTTCCCGGAGGGCCTCCCATCCCTGGTCCTCCAGGTGGCCCTCTCTTGCCCCCTCCACCTCCTCCACCTCCACCGGGTGGCATGATGCCTCCTCCACCACCTCCTCCACCGGGCAGTGCTGTGATGCCGCCACCTCCACCACCGCCCCCTGGTGGCCCCCCGCCACCCCCTGGACGGCCTCCTTTCGGTGCAGCTCCGCCTCCGCCAGGAGCTCCCGTGGGACCGTCCCTGAAGAAGAAAAACATTCCTCAGCCGTCCAATCCACTCAAGTCCTTCAACTGGGCCAAGCTGTCTGAGGTGAGACTGGCATGGATTAGAGGAGCGGACTGGGTCATCCTGACACTCACAGACACTAAAATCTGTTTCTTAAGCCTCCACGTTTAATCAAGAAACACTTTTGGAAGTCAAGTTGTCAAGTTGTCAGCATTTGTCATATATTGTCATATGGGTAGAGAACTAGATTCAAAATTTTTATATACGTTTTTAATAGAATGTTTATTTTTTTATTTACATTTAAATTGAATAAATCTGTTATCTATACTTTTTAGTATGTAATTTTATTTAAATTGTTAAATTCTTTAAACTATTTCAATCTATACTCTTTAGAATTTAATTGAATAAAATGTTATTTATATTTTTAATTTTAAGAAACCGTTTTTATCCATACATTTTAGCATTGAATAAAATGTTATTTATTTAGACTTTTAATGTAATGAAACTATTTTTATCTATACATTTTAGCATTGAATAAAATGTTTATTTATTTATTTTGCGGATTTATTTAGTGGCATTTTTCCCATCTTCATCTTTGATTTATTTTTGAATTTTACAATGCATTTTCTACTTGAGTTTCAGAGTTTTACGATTAACAAAATATAGCATGTGACTTACAACATGTGACTTTGGACTGGACAGTAATTGAGTTACACATCCCATTCTCTTCCACAGAACAAGCTTGAGGGAACAGTCTGGGCAGACATTGATGACGGCAAAGTTTTCAAAATTCTGGACTTGGTGGACATTGAGAAGACTTTCTCTGCCTATCAGAGGCAACAGGTCACTAAACAATGCTTCTTTCACTGGTTATCATCCAGAATGATCTCACAAAGCATTCACTGTCTCTCATGCATGGTATTCATACGTTTACCCACGGTAATCCTGCGTCACAGAGCATAGGGTTTGAATTAGCAGACTGTAAAATGCATTGATATCACCAGCAGTTTTCTATGAAAAGCAGACATTGGCAAACCGTCCTCATTATGCCTGGTAAACCACACACTTAGTCTCATTATAAAGCAATTACATACAGTTCTTATGGCTTTACAGTCAAATTAGAGAAGAAAGAGGGAAAAAAAGCTAGGTTGGTTACAGCTCGAGACTTGACCGTGCCTTCATAATCATATTTTAAAACAATGCATAAATTACTTAAAGCTGGTTTTAAACTTGAAAGCATGCTAAATGCATTAAAACAGAGATTCATAAAACCTCTCCAATTTCATCAATTTCTCAAAATGTATTAGATTTATTTACAGCATTTTGGAAGCCAGATTATTACAGTATGGAAACCATTTTCTGTCTCAGAGTAAAAAAAAAAAAAAATTAGTTTATATAATATATATCTAACACCTGGAACTTTATATTATTTATTAATTGCAAATTAATTTGTCACAGTTGCAACTTAACTCTTGACTCTTTTTCTTGCAGTCGCAGCAATTTTGCTTGATTACTATATTTATCATAATTCATTTTTCGCATTTGCAATTTTATTTCCTGTCACTGCGATTATTTGTTGTGATTTCTCAGAATTGTGCAGATTTCCACATTATGAACAGAAATGTGGATTTGCTAGAGAAAAGACAAAATGTGTCCACTATTGCAGAGCATCTAGATTTGATACAACTACGGTGGAATTGGAGAGGTAGCTTGTGATATTTAGCAGTTTTAGACATTAACCGGTCATCTGTGATCAACTAGCATGCATCTTTCAGTGCACACACACATTTACACTGCATTTACAGACCTCCCAGAAGGCTCTGCTTTCATGCATCCTCACGCTCACCATTCACCACCCCAATAATGTCATCATGTGCACATGCCTGTTTGAGTTTGTTTTGGCTGAATTCACCAGACTACGCTGTCTCTCTCTAACATGTGCTGCATCTTCCTTGCTTCTCGCCTGCATTCTAGGACTTCTTTATGGTCAATAACTGCAAGCAGGTAAGTGTGGTTGAACAGATCTAATAGTGTTTGCATCATCTCTCCCCCACTCACTCTTTCTATGTGTCATTCATTTTGTATCCAGACAATATATAAAAGTGGAAACCTAATTGTGACTTTACTGATAATGTTTATATAAACTGCCCATACACACTATTGGTCAAAAGTTTGAAATTAGAATGATTTCTGAAGGATCATGTAACATTGAAGACTGGAGTAATGGCTGCTGAAAATTCTGCTTTGCATTACAGGAAAACTTTAAAATATATTCAAATAGAAAATGGTTATTTTAAATTGTAATAATATTTCACAGTTTTTACTGTATTTTTGATCAAATAAACAGCCTTGGTAAGACTTTTGAAAACAATTAAAAAATCTCCAGACTTTTGACTGGCAGTGTAAGGAGATTCAAAATCATAGAGTATATTGATTCTTTTATTTTAAACCTGATCTTTAAAGTTGCTCTTGAGTGAAATGTATCTCTTTTGTGACTCCGACCAAACAGAAAGAGACTGAAGACGATGCGCTGAGCTCCAAGAAAGTCAAAGAGCTCTCTGTCATCGATGGCCGCCGGGCTCAGAACTGCAACATCCTTCTCTCACGGTGAGTGATGTGTCTGGTCCGGGTATGAGTTCACCTCCGGCTGGTGTGTGTGTGGACCTCACTGGCCCTCCAGATGTAATGTCATATCCTGTGGGTAATACCTTCTGGTTCCTACATCCTGGTTTGATACTGTATCTTCCACCTTGGTTATTGTACCATTTCCTATCAGTGAAAGACATACCGCCCCTTAGTTTCTTCACGTCTATACAGTATGAGGTGGCTTTCTTGAATTATTTGTAAATCAATGCAGCATGGGGCTTTAAAAATGAACAGGAACTATGCTTCATTAATTAAGAGTCTTAAATCATAAAAAAGATTTCACGCTTGACAACTTGGTTGTCATTGCCAGGAACGATATTTGACTTTCTCACTCAAAAGGAATATGCAAGGATTCTGTGATTCCAGAAGCTCCACAAATTGCAGTGGTTTGGGATTTCCATATCTAAAATGTGCCCTTTGGGTGCTTATTTATTAAATATCATGGCTAACATTATAAGATATTTATACTGTTACAATATATTTTTATTTCAAATAAATGCTTTTCTTTTGGAACCTTCTATTCATCATAGAATATTGAGAAATGTGACCCTGGACCACAAAACCGTTGGGGTATATTTGTAGCAATAGCCAAAAAAACATTGTATGGGTCAAAATGATTGATTTTTCTTTTATGCCAAAAATCATTAGGATATTAAGTAAAGATCATGTTCTATGAAGATATTTGGTAAATTTCTTACCATAAATATATCAAAACTTAATTTTTGATTAGTAATATGCATTGCTAAGAACTTCATTTGGACAACTTTAAAGGTGATTTTCTCAATATTTCGATTTTTTTGCACCCTCAGATTCCAGATTTTCAAATAGTTGTATCTCGGCCAAATATTGTCCTATCCTAACAAACCACACATCAATGGAAAGCTTATTTATTCAGCTTAAGATAAATCTCAATTTTAAAAAATTGACCCTTATGACTTTGGTTATGTTTTTGTGGTCCAGGGTCACAAATATGATGCAGCACAACTGCATTCAACATTGATAATAAGAAATGTGTGTTGAGCCGCAAATCTGCATATTAGAATGATTTCTGAAGGATCATTTGACACTGAGACTAAACTGACGACTTTTTTTTTACTGTATTTTTGATCAAATAAATGCAGCCTTTGTGAGGATAAGAGACATCTTTCAAAAACATTTAAAAGTCTTACTGCCCCCAAACCTCTGAAAAATAGTGTACCATAATTAAATCTAGTCCTTTTTTTCTGGAGTCTAGAGTTTTCCCCAAAATCTTAGCAGAAAATGTGAAAGAATGGCCTGCTAATGGGTCCTGATGTTTATTAGCTTTCCATTTCCTTTGAAAATGGAAAACAAAACAAAAAAATTCAGTCAAAATCACTATTAAAGGTGACATATCATGAAAATCTGACTTTTCCAGGTTTTAAGTGCTGTAATCAGGTCCCCAGTGCATCTTACCAACCAAGGAAACGTGAAAAAGATTAATCCAGTAACTGTTTTGGTAAGCCTTTTTCTGCAAGTGTCTGAAAAAACGAGCGCGTCTGATTTTGCTCCCTTGGTGATGTGGCAAAGGGATCTCATTATAATATTACCGCCCCTTAATCTGTAAATGTAATACACCCACAGCGCCGTAATTGCGTTTTCGCAAGCGACAATGGTGTACCAGTTCTAATGCCATGGCGAAAGTTTGAGCAAAGCATGCTAACTGTTCTGTCTTTGGCTGCACAGACGAGCACAGAACACTGTTTAGAGTCCCAGCCTCAGAGGAGACAAGAGAGCAGTGGATTTATTGATTTATTTACTGTATATTGCTGCTGCCACACAGATCTAAAATAAACCTGAGATTTATTTCCCAGCAGTTTACCTTCACAGACATAACCGACTTGTTTTGTAACTTGTGTGTGTTTTTAACGTAAACTTGTGTGAATGAGAACTTAGTTTAGTACTCACATGCCG